CTTCTTGCCATCGTGTTGTTCACCAAAGTGGAGCTTCCATTAGCTCCCGATCATACCTCCGTATGATACAGTCCCTCACGGGACTTGTTATGTGCTAATCATAGGTGCCCAGCAAGCCAATCATGTGAGTGATGGCACGTGTGACTTGATACAGAATCTTTTTGCTTATTATATTTTGGTGTATATCACTTTATAACTATTACATATGTGCATATGTATATTGTGATGTCCTTGGATTTGTGCAATGGGAATCGGATCGTGATGAGATCACGATAATGAGATTGATTCACCTTAAACACATATCCTAAATAATCTCGGTCATATGTTACTCGAGAGGGACATCGTGATAACCGGATAGACTGGTGTGCTGTATACCCGTCCATATGATGGATGCAGCTGGTCTCATAGCTGCTCGTGTAGAGACACTAGGGATACAGTACAGGTGCTCATTGGAGAATGAGTTCACTGATTGATCCGCTTACGGAATGCTGGATGGTTGATGATGTCTTATTGTCAGACAACGATTCCGTAGTCCTAGTGGTGTATCTGGTCCTTAGACTTGAGACACCAAGGATGTCCTGTATGAGTGCTCCACTCTTTGATACCAGACTTATAGGTTTGGTTGTCTCAGATCTAGTACAGCTGGTCATTGGGAGTGGTAGTCGACCTTACGAGGGCTATTGAGTGTCGATAGAGGATCATCCACTCTCGGCGTCATGAAAAGAATATCCCATGTGTTCTTGCTCAGACAAATCCCTGGTTAGGGTCATTCGGGTTGAGAGAGAAAGAGTTCTCCGGGAGAATCCGATTAGAGCGAGACTCGAGTAGAAACCGTATGAGTCTGACAACACCATGCTCGATATATGGTCTCTAGGATATTAGATAGATGAGGGATTATAGGTACACGGTAACTGAGGACAGATAGGTCCAATGGATTGGATTCCCCTGTATCGTCTGGGGACTACGGCGTAGTGGCCTAGTACGTCCGTAGTCGATGAGTCAAGTGAATTATTACAGAGATAATAATTCACTGAGTTAGAAGGAGTTCTGACAGGTATGACTCACGGCTAGCTCGATATTGGGCCTAGAGGGTCACACACATATGGTAGGCATTGCGATGAGTAGAGGTTCGGATATGAGATATCCGACGGAGCCCTTATCTTATTGGATGCAGACCCAATACCCACAAGGGGAGGACCCATTAGGGTTTGATAGGGGACCTCTATAAATAGGAGGGATTCAGAGCCTCATAGGCTAGAGCCTTTGCTTGCCTTTCCTATTCTCCTCTTCCTCTCCACCTCAGAGCAGGCCTGGAGTTTTGAGGAGCGTCATCGCAACCCTGCTGTGTGGATCACCGCTAGAGAGGAGGACGCTTGACCTCCTTCACCCTCTCCTAAGGATCTGCAAGGAAACAGGGATATACGATCTCCCTAGGTAACACAACCTACTCTATACGCAGTTTTAAGTTTAGCGAATTTTGCGCACCAATCTTCGCACGACGACGAACATCTCTTTGGGAATCGGGGATTTTGTTTTCTTGTTCTTCCGCTGCGCATGTGATGTCGCCCCCATGATTTCCCAACATTATATGTATCGCATTACCACGATTCGCTCCACCATGTCGCCTCCTGGTGATATCTCCATTGTATTCTCATCTTAGTGGGATGAACTCGAATTGTGATCCCTCCATGTGTGGTCTCTGCCAATACATCGCAGGGTCTTTTTCATCTTCGATTTTATTCGCTCCTTTGGCAATCGACCTTCATCCACCCACTCTTGGATCACACCTAGATAAAGCACCGCTCCATGACAGTCCGTCACCTAGTAGCTCCCAAAGTCCACTGACTTTGTTGAAAATGGTGCACCATTATCTGGATCCTGGGCCTCTGCCCCTACTAGCACAATCTTCACTACGCATCGCTTCCTTTATGGCAACTTGAATGATAACACCGTTGCATATTATTCAAGAGTACCTACCTCCGCATCCTCTTGCCCCGTGCCAAGGCCTTCTGAACCCAACTTCGCCTCCGTAAGTTGAGTTGCCTTAGTTCCTCCATCAAATACTTCTCCGAGATAAGGTGCATGTGCCCAGGAGCTCTTTTCATCTTTGGCACAATGCAAGATGAGTCCACTCCGTTAGAATGAAGGACCCATGGAACAACATGATCCAGCTCTTGCCTCCGTAAGAGTTCATGTCCTTGACCTCTGTCCAATGAAAGCACTATGCCTCCACTCCATGTTCCATCTTCTATGCTGGCTCCCTTCATGTGACTTGGGTACTTCGCCAAGTTACACCCAAGCTGCTCCGCGCATCATTTGTTTGCATTGAGTTGATGGTGGCCTTTGCACCCATCATTCCACGGGTCAACCCTCCCTTGAGTCCGATCTCCATATCAACTTCAAGTGTGCCTTCATTTGTATTGCTTTGGGTTGCTCCCCACTTATTCTCGCAATGCATCCACCAATGCATTCTCTCAAGTGAGATCATGCGACGACTCCTTGCCGCTTGCTCGGTCCATTGAGCTTCGTGAAGTTATTGTTTTTGAGGTACTCCTCCTCAATATGTACAGTCTATTGCACATGATTCTCCCTCTGGAGAGTCGGGACTTATCCCTCCTGGATATCTATCCTATTGGAGCAATATCTCTCTTTGTTTCGGAGACCACCATCCCCTTGGACTACTCTGATTTGCTGAACAAACTGCATATTGTTCTGCCTCCTGCAAATACACTTGCTAGATTGCGACTCCACGTCAATACAACCCCCACTGTACCACTTAAGTCCTAGCAATATGCTTAACTCGCTGTACACTTCAGCCTCGTACGGACGTATCCTTCACATGCCGAAGAGAAAGTTTCAATACTTCATGACACTAAGTTTCAGTTGCCTTGGGATAGCCGCGAACATTCCATCGTTCGCATACAAGCCCATGCATGAGTACTGAATTCTTCAAGTTAGCAATTCCCCTCACATCTGTGAGCTTTGCACAACTCTTTCGGTCACTGAGCAACTCATTCCACCTTTCATGGTCTTATTCTTTACCAAGCGCCTCGCTTGCCTTGAGCACCATCAAGTATAGTTGTCAACGTCGAGCCGTAGCTCGGACTCAGCCATCTCAACCTTTGTGCACTTCAGATTCTTCCAAGCTTGCTTGTTCTCGTGGTGCTTCTTGCACGAAGGGTTGACCATTCCTCTGAATACTAATCTCAGATGCCCACTTCTCCGAGCGAATTCTTTTCCCTACATCTCCATGCCCGTTTTCTCTCAAACGGTCATGCGTGTGCTAACTGCCATCAATGTAGCCTCGCTAGGTCCCCCACATTTACATGCCAAGTGTTTCTATGAGTGCTTATCCCGCTCTGATAGCATTTGTCATGGACTTAGCTGGTTTTGCCTAAGTTGTGCGGTACCCTTGCGTGTCCGTTCGTAAAGGTCAGCCTCCCCGAAACCCCCCATGGTCCCTTAGGACCTACAAAAGAGAAAACAGGTTAAAGAAAACACCTCACTCGGGATCCACAGGCAAACATTCCAGGAAATACTTCATAGACAATACAAATTATAAACAGACTTTACAAGCTCTGAACGGTTGCACAACAAAGGGTCAAAATGGTCCACTACAAACCGAATATCTCTCACGAATGTCTACATGACACGACCTTTATTTACAAGCCTAAGAAGACCACCAAACCCAACTAAAATGAGGCTGTTAATCCTTTGACTATTCCTCTATATGCTGTGCAAAGCATGAACAAACAGAAAGACACAAGCATACATAAGTATTACATCAAACATCCTGTTTAGAACTTTGTCCGTGACAACAGGGTGAGTAACGATGAGATTGATGATGCACTTTTCATGGAGATAGGTGGTGTCACGATGAGAGCAGATCTTATCATCGTTAGAAGCGATCAAGCAACTGTATTGATGTCGATACTATCGAACATTAAAATTATATATTTTTTATTTTATATTTTCATCGATAAAACTGACATCGTTAGTGTAAATGAACATATATATCAATATATATTTTAAAATACTAAAATACTAACATAGATGTAAATGATATCGTCCGTATAAAAACTAAAATACTAAAGATAATTAACTAGATAATATATAATTAGCTTCTAGAAAGCATTGATCAATGTCAATGTCAAATACATTGATCAAATCAACGACAAAGGCATTGACCAAAGTCAATGTCTGTGCCATGTTTATGAGGGAAAAGGAAACCAATCACAAATTAACAGCGCACGGAAATAATCTCTTTAATTTGGATTCATTGAATGCATCCAAAGTTTACGCGACCGATGGTTGAGTTGGTTTCCCACTATCGCATCTTTGTGTGCGAGCATCTCTCTCTCTCTCTCTCTATGTTCCTCAGCCATTGAGGTGTATTTCTCTATATATAGCTCCTAACTGTATACACTTGAGCATGGCGATTTCTCTAGCTTCCTTGGCCATAACCTTACATGTTTGCGCCGACAGCTGCTTTCGCTACTCGCTCACCGAGCCTCCATGCACCGCCAGTGGCTACCTCCGTGGCAAGTCCCACAGCTGCAACACCGAGAACTACTCAGAATGCTGCAAAGATGGCGAGATGTACCCCCAGTACCAGTGCTCGCCGCCGGTGACCAGCTCTACGCCGGCCCAGATGATGATCGTCAGTTTCGCAATCAACGGCGACGGCGGAGGCCCAGGGGCGTGCGACGGTCAGTACCATAACGACACCGAGATGGCCGTCGCCTTGTCCACCGGATGGTTCGACGGCGGCAGCCGGTGCAACAGGAACATTCGAATCAGCGCCAACGGGCGGTCCTTGCTGGCGAAGGTCGTCGACGAGTGCAGCTCCGTCGAAGGCTGCGAAGCCGAGCAGAACTACACACCACCGTGTCCCAACAACGTTGTCAATGCATCTCCGGCGGTGTGGGACGCGTTGGGCATACCGGAGCTGCAGAGAGGGGATTACAATATTACTTGGTCAGATGCATGAAGAGAAGAGCATGCAGCTACGAAATGCTCGACGAATACACGGAAGAAACTTGTGTGCAATTCCATTTTTATCTTTTATTTGACTTGCTTTCTAACTTAAGGATCGTAAATTTTCATATCATATTTATGTTATATCGACTCTATCAAATCGAGTTTGATCAACTTTGATCACAAATCAAGATCGAAGCCAAAGCATCATTTCCTTCCTTACCCAGTCAGTGGTTTTCCAGTCTCAATATTTTTTATAAATGGTTTTATTATTATATTTTAATCATAATTAATGGGTTATTATTATTATTATCATCAAATTACCCATCTCCCGGTCTAGAAGTTTCCAGAGCTAGCCAGAATCCGCGCTTCGTTCTCCGACCCGACTTGGGGCCCTTTTGCACCCGATCTGCTCTTCTGCTTGAAGATGCGCGAAACCTCGCCCATGTCCGCTTCCGACGGCTCAGGATGCATGGTTGAACGGCGGATCTCAACCGCTTGAGAAAGCAGATCATTCTTCACTGAGCGGTTCGTCACTCTTCCGCTTCGGCGTCTATAAAATTGGCCTCCCTTCTCCCGCCTCGTTATCTCGCCTTCTTTCCCATTTATCATCTCGTTCGTTCTTGGACCTCGATCTTAATGGCGAACCCAGGCGGGTCTTCTGCTTCCGATGCGTAAGTTCATTGTTTCTTTTTGTTTTCCGCGTGTATTTCTTGGCGTTGTCGATTGGATTTCTCGAAGGTGTTTTGCATGAATGAGAGGCTGTCATCCGTTTCTCGAGGGTTTCGATTGGATTTCTTAGGGTGGAAATTGATGCAGCAAGGGTAAGAATAACACGGCGATCCTGGAGAAGAAGAAGTCGCCCATTCGTTTGATCGTAGACGAGGCGATCAATGGTGATAATTCGGTGGTATCGATGAATCTTAATAGATATAGGATTTGTGTGGTTGCTAAGATAGAGTTACTGTGAAGGGATATGATTGTAACTCAACCCGGCTGACGGCCTTGAAAAAGATTAGGGTTCGAATAGGCAATGTTTGATTATGGTTGCACCTGGTTTTGGCAATTTGTTTTGTTAGTTATAATTTCCGGCTCTTAATTATATGAGCTTCAATTGCAATCACTAAAATTCATTCGTGGATTCATTTTCTTTTTTTTCATTTGTTATTCATTTATTTTCTTGAGGGAAATGGGGATTTCCAGAATTCTTTGGAGATCTTAGACTTAGGTTGTGTTCAATTGAAAATTTAGGCTTTTAATCTAAGACAGTCTTTTCAATGTTTTTCTATAGGGAAAAAAGAGGAGGGATACAATTTGCATTGCTCTAGCTGATGATACATGTGATGAACCAAAGATCAAGATGAATAAGGTTGTTAGACTGAATCTCAGAGTGAGGCTGGGAAATATTATCTCAGTCCATCAGTGCCAATATGTAAGTGTGTGAAGTGTGTTCGTATTCTTCCTATTGATGACACAATCTAAGGAGTTACAGAAAACCTCTTTGATGCATATTTGAAGTGTGAGTTTTTTTTCCTTCTATTATTTGATAAATTACACATCACAGCCACATTATGTTGTAGTTAAACATTAATTTTTTTACAATATTTTCACTGCAAATTTGTAGGTTGTTTTAGAATTGCAATTCATTGGAACCACCTGAGTGTCGTTGGCAACTTAAAGAAGTTTCTTGGAGTGAAGTTTGTCCGATCCCTATTAATGGGTTATAATCTGTTTTCATGATTTGTGGTTGCTTTAGCTAACTTATTGACTTGTTTATTTGCAGCATATTTTCTGGAGGCATACGCCCTGTTAGAAAAGGGGATCTTTTCCTTGTCCGAGGAGGTATGAGGAGTATTGAATTTAAAGTTAAGGAAACCGATCCTGCAGAGTATTGTATTGTTGCTGCTGACACAGATTTTCTGTGAGGGGGAACCTGTAAAAAGGGAGTATGAGGACAGACTTGATGAGGTGGGTTATGATGATGTTGGAGGAGCTAGGAAACTAATGGCTCAAATAAGAGAGCTAGTAGAGCTACCTCTTAGACACCCTCAATTGTTCAAGTCAATTGGTGTCAAACCACCGAAAGGTATTTTGTTTTATGGACCGCCTGGTTCTGGGAAGATGCTGATAGCTAGGGTGGTTGCAAATGAGATGGGAGCCTTTTTCTTCTGCATTAATGGTCCAGAGATCATGGCAAAGCTAGCTGGTGAACATGAGAACAATTTGAGAAGGCTTTTGAAGAAGCAGAGAAAAATGCACCATCAATTATTTCTATCGATGAGATCGATTCCATTGCTCCTAAGAGAGAAAAGACTAATGGATAAGTTGAGAGACGTATAGTGTCTCAATTGCTGACGCTGATGAATGGGCTAAAACAGTATTGATCCAGCTCTTAGAATATTTGGTAGGTTTGTTTGAGAAATTGACATTGGAGTTCCAGATGAAGTAGGTCGCTTGGAGGTTCTTTGAATCCATACTAAGAACATGAAGTTAGCTGAAGATGTAATTGACCATTTCTTATTATTTCTTTTGACCATTATTCTTTTGAATAATAATACATTTTATCTTAATTTTTCATTGATGACAGTATTTCATGTAATGCAGGTTGATTTAGAAGGGATAGCTAAGGACACTCGTGGGTATGTTGGAGCTGACCTTGCCACTTTATGCACTGAGGCAGCTCTCCAGTGTAGACGTGAGAAGATGGGCATAATATATTTAGAGGATGAATCGATTGATGCTGAGATTCTCAACTCAATGGCTGTTACAAACGAACATTTTAAGACTGCTCTTGGATCAAGTAATCCATCTGCACTCCGTGAAACTGTAAGGCCACTTTTTAGTTGTTTTAAGTCTTAAAGACTATATTTTTTCTTGTTCTTTGAGTATGTTAATTCTAGGGTTGATATCTTTTAAGCTGCTGGTTGTTTGAAGGGTTGAGGATGAGAAACCTTGACACTTAGAAATTCTTATTGTAGTTGAAATTTTCAATTAACTTCTACGCATTCAAACATTCAAATTGGTACATAAAGATGTGTGATTTGGCCTGGTATCCAAAGCCCAAAAAGAGCCCTACATGCTCTATGTCATGACAGGCTTATGCAATTAGGGCTGGAATATCTGTTTGTCCTTGAGATATTTTAACTTGAAATGTGATGGTTTCTTTATCAGGTTGTTGAAGTGCCAAATGTTACCTGGTATGATATTGGTGGGTTGGACAATGTTAAGAGGGAGCTGCAAGAGGTAGTTTGGTGAATAAGTTATGGTTTTTGCCTTTGCAAAATGCCTGATGGTGTTGCTTGTCTAACTCTTCTCCTTTTTCTTACAGACTGTGCAATATCTGGTTGAGCATCCTGAGAAGTTTGAAAAGTTTGGGATGTCCCCCTTCAAGGGAGTATTGTTTTATGGACCGCCCGGTCGTGGAAAGACCTTGTTAGCTACGGCCATTGCTAATGAATGCCAAGTGAATTTCATCAGTGTCAAAGGTCCTGAATTATTGACTATGTGGTTTGGTGAGAGTGAAGCAAATGTGTGTGAAATCTTTGACAAGGCTTCGTCAATCTGTGCCCTGTGTTCTCTTTTCTGATGAGCTTGACTCCACTGCAACCCAGGTTATCTATCCATTGTTTCTGTCTAACTTGTGTCATTCACTTGTATTTTCTATTCTTGATCATAATTTTTTCACTGCCACTGCAGAGAGGCAGCACTGTTGGCGATGCAGGAGGTGCTGCTGATAGGGTTCTTAATCAGCTACTGACACAGATGGATGGCATGAATGGCAAGAAAACAGTGTTCATTATTGGGGCAACTAAAATGCCTGACATTATAGATCCTGTTTTGCTTAAGCCAGGCCGTCTTGACCAATTGATTTATATACCTTTACCAGATAAGGCCTCTCGATACCAAATATTTAAAGCTTGCTTGAGGAAGTCTTCTGTGTCTAAAGATGTTAACTTGAGGGCTCTTGCCAAGTACTCTCAAGGATTTAGTGGTGCAGATATTACAGATATTTGCCAACATGCATGCAATTTTGCCATTAGAGAAAACATTGAAAAGGTAGGCTTTTTTTTTTTTTTTGTATTTGTCATTTCCTTTCTGTTTTGACCATGGAATATAATTATTTGTGTGTGATAGATATTTCTGATATTGTATATTAAAAATGACAGCTGCAGCAGTAGCTTTCTTCTGTTATGTGCACCGTAATCTGATATGTTGCACATCAACTTCATAGTGTACATTCACTTGGCAAAACATGTGAGAACCAGCATCATTTTAATCTTAGTTCTTTTTTGGTTAAGCAATATATATACATTTTTAATTGTGTGTTTTATGCTTGGTCAAAATATGAGTTGTGTATATTATGTTACATAAGGAGATCACAACTTATTTTAAATCTGTTATGGCTAATTTCCATCAGCATTAATCTGCGGATTGAAACATGATAATTAGTTGGTGGATTGTTGTGCTGTTTTATATACTTAACCCTTGCTCAAAAACTGGAGATAGAACATGAAAGCCTGCTTCCAGAACTTTTAACAAGGTCAAGAGCTTCTGCCTCCCGAGTGTATTTTGGTTATAGTAGCATTAATTGCTGATGGTACAAAATTTCCATTTCTACTAGACTGAAATTGGCCTCTTTGTTATCTTATTATGTAGGATATCGAAAGAGAAAGACGGAAAAGTGAGAATCCTGAAGCAATGGAGCAAGATGAGGCTGATGAAGTACCAGAGATCAAAGCTGCTCATTTTGAAGAATCAATGAAGTTTGCTCGTCGGAGTGTCAGTGTTGCAGACATCCGGAAGTACCAGGCTATTGCACAGACCTTGCAGCAGACATCACACTGTGGCACTATGGAGATCTTTCATGTTTACTAGATCTCATTCGGGACTCAAGAAACGAATTTGATGGTGAAGGTTCTGAAGAATTCAATGGTATGGTTGCTCGCCAGTGATTTGTTCAATGTTCTGACTTAATTGTTACCATGTCCAAGGTAAATCTTTTCAGCTCTGTTCCAAATTATCGCTTTCATATATCAAGCTAAACCTTTTTGACTGGATATTAAAGTCCAGTCACACGTAAATTAAATACTAGAAAGCGACAGGTTTCCTGCATTCTTCAATGCAAGATGTACTTGTGTGTCTCAAGGTTGTTGCTATTGTTTCGGGTGTTTGCTAAGATAACTGGTTAGGAATGTCACTTACAGGTATGTATCTGAAAACCCAGGTTGCTTAAATGGAGGCCAATCGGTTGATTTCGCACAGCTGTGCTTGCAGGTGGGTCGCCACAGATGCATGTCATTTACAAATGATGATAAATTTGAATTTTTATACAAATACCTGTCCTGATTGCTTAAATCATAGTAAATTGATCAAATCTAGGAGTATTAGCAAGCATAACTACTACAACTGGATCGGATTGGCCAGAAGAAAATTATGAATCGGTTCCGAGATAGGTCTGATCTTTTATGAAGTGTAAGAATTTATGGGGTTAAACAATGGGTAAAATTTTCGAGTATTAAAAAGACTGATTAACATACCTTTGAAATCATGTTTAATCGGAAAAGAATATGCTTGACGAATATTAAAAATTAAAATATCCTTACAGTCTTTTGCTTTCTCAATCACATAGTTCGATGTGAGGGAAGATGGCATCGATGTCAAACGAAAACCCCAAAGAATCGACAATAGATATAAACAGGTTAGAAGAGAAACATGGAGAAACAGAAGTAGAACAAAAGGGATAAAAAGAAGAAAAACAAGAGAGAAGATAGCAGGTTGGGAAAAAGAGAGAACATGATTAATAAAGAGATAAGGAAAAATAAAAAAAAATATATTAGAATATACTATCTTATAAGATCGCTTATTATGTGTTTTATATAATTTGTTCGATTGATTGATTCATCAAACCAACTAATGCCTCGATGTATCAAAACTTAGTCGAATGGATGATAGTTTAGTTATGATAATTAGGCAAATAAACATAAAAAAAAAATAGCAAATATTTCCCCCCTTAAGAAAAACCGCCGCCTCACGCCCCCTGTCGCACGTGACATCGAACCGGCGACCGTCGTCGCCAGCGTATCACTACCGTCTACCCCACGTGGGCCCCCCGAAAAGGGATTGCCGTCCACGTGCCACCATGCTTCCTTGTGCCTCTCGGACCCCAGTCCCATAATTCCAATCCGCCTTTCCCCCAGCCCCCTCGAGTCCGTTGCCGAAGCTAAGCAAAGCAAAGCAAACGCAGCGCAGAGCAGAGCAAAGGCGAACGCCGAGCGTGCTCCTTCTGCGTCTTCGTCCTCTCCCTCTCGCCTCCGTCGCTTCGCTCGGTTCCCTCGTCGGTCCTCCGCTTCCATCGCAAGTACCTCGAGGTGAGCCGGCCTTGGTTCCTCTTTCTTCCATTTTTGTCCTGCTCATGTTTTGTTCTTTTCTTTGAGAATGTTGTGGGGTTGGATGTCATGCTTTTGTAATGCTCGTTCTTTTTCGTGGTCGAATGTGTTTGATCATTGCTTTGGAGGAAATAGTGGTTCAGATATTCTACATGAAAGAATGAAATATGTCGTGACGATTCTTTAATGCTTACCTCTTTTCGTTTCCAGAAACGGGGATGTTCTTCATCAGATATGTTATTGGAATATAAGTGGAACTCATACTGATTAGGCTCTTAGAGGATGGAAGCTTAGAAGGTGGAATATGTTGAATTCTGGTGCATATGGTCGTCTCATGTAGGTGTGTCCACTAGTCCTCTGTTGTGGCTGGGTATTGGAGTAGTCTATCTTTGATTAATTTACTCAGTTCGCGTATTTAGTGTGATAAGCTACTGCTCTGTCAAGCTCAACAGGAAGCTATCATGGAATGTCTTTACTACTTACAAATTTATTCTTGGTTATCGTAATTCTTCTAATTCATCCATCCATATAACTGATGCATTAATATGACAAAATTTCTCTTAGTTATTTTAATTTTTTAATTTATCTAGATAACTGATGCATTAACATGACAAGTATGAACCAGTGGCTCAGAAAATATTTAGTACATCTATCCAACCTTTGAAGACCGATTCAACTTTTCTCTTGCTTCTAATGTGAAACTGAACTTTGTGTATTACAGTCCATGATGTGTCTTTAGTTGGTCCTTTCCTACTAAACTATGATGTGCCTTTAGTCGGTCCTTTCCTACTTAAACTCATCGCGATACCCACCATATCTAATATTAGGCTTTCCTTATACCAATTGCCATGATTTGATTGAATGGGATAATTGACACATTGTCTTGGTCTTATAACTATGTGATCCAAAATGCTTAATCTGTCTATGTTAATGATGGTACACTCATGCAGTACTTATATACCAACTCACGTTTCTCCCACTTTCGATATGAAACTAAACTAGGGGTGTTTATACTTCATTCAGTTGGAATTAAGACATAGATGAGAATATCAAAATTGAGTCATGATAGACTAAACGGGGATGTTCTCCTCATTATACCCATGAAGACATTTGATCTATCCAGGCTTTTAAGCTTATTGCTGTGATTTTAGCTCTCAAACTGATTTAGTCTGTTTACTTGACCAAATCTAGACCCATTGCCGCCACTAGCTCCCGAGGTTTACATGTGGACATGTTTGCTTATGGGATATGTGTCCTAAAAACATTACAATGATTCTGAGTGTTGTATAAGCAAAATTACCTATTTCTACATGTGGTAGTTATGATGAAAAGTTTAGCTGTTAGAGTGATTTCTCTTTTTAATTTTGCAGTTTATTAGGATTGGTGGAACTACTAATTGCACTTCCATATTTATGGAAATTGTGGAAGTTGTGCATGATGATTGCAAGGATGGCATGGTGAAATGTGCCATAGAAAATGGGTGGGTGAAGCCAAGCATGTGCCAAAATAACTTCACTTGTAAGCCTGTTCAGGTTTGTAAGTGTCCTTGAAACCAATAAGGAATGTTTCATTTCTTCTATCTACTTATTGTCTCCCTCTTGTCTTATTGTTTCTGTGATTTTAAATCTTAATCTTAGGTCTCATCTGACATTCTTCTCGTATATTTTGTCAAGATTTTTAAATGCATAGATGGAGATCTATTAACCTTTTTGTTAAAGGTTTGTATACTTAAATCCAATGTATGCAATTTCGAATAATACCACTCGATACGGGCGGTACATACCGGTTCGTCAGCTTACCGGTACACAGACCGCCCGTTACCGAGCGGAACGAAATAAAAAAATAAAAAAAAATAAATATATATATATATATACGAGGCGACGCGACGTCGTATTTTATAAAAATATTATATATATATATATATATATATATATATACGCGAGGCGACGTCGCGTCACCTCGACGCCCCGCGTGGGAGAAGGAAAAGGCGACGTCGTCTTTATATATATATATATATTTACCGAACGGTTTACCGCTCGGTATATAGTTTCGTACCGTATCGAGCGAACGTCGAAACTCCAATACGGTACGAAATTGCATACCTTGCTTAAATCTCTTTGGGACACTTGGTTGGATTGAGAGATGACTATGATTGTGTATGAATCACCAATGGCAACTAAGCTGTAAAGTGGGAACCTTTGGCATTGACTATAATTCCAAAATTCATCTAGTCTTAGAATGAAATGGCGAATGCAAAAATGTGAATTGTATGCATAATATTTTTGTTGTGTAACAATTAGCAAAAACCAAGGAGTCAATGTGAACAAATAATATCTTGCATTTTCCTAAGAGGTAAATGGTGTATTGCTATTCTGCATGACTAGTTGCCCTAAGCTAGGTGCTTTACTTCTTAGTTTGAGCTTGTGGAGGGCTGTTGCAGGCCAGGTTGACTGAAAAACTGACTGGTTGTCCTAAGGTAGGTGCTTTAGTTCTTAGTTTGAGCTTGCTATTTTTAATCATTACAGAGGGCTGGTGCAGGCCAGGTTGAGTGAAAAACTGACTGGTTGTCCTAAGGAAGGTGCTTTAGTTCTTAGTTTGAGCTTGCTTTTTTAAAAATCATTTCAGAGGGCTGGTGCAAGCCAGGTTGAGTGAAAAACCGCCCCAGCCTCACCACTTGTAAATCCCATCCCATCTTTGTGGATTCCAACCTGGGTTAATGAACATGATGTCATCTCCGATCCATACAAAAATTGATAGTATTAATTTTTTGCCTGCCCAAATGTGAATAAATAATGGAAATATATTTAGTATATATATATTGTTTATAATAGTAATATAAAAGGAAAAGTAGTTTATATAATTCTACTAGGATGGCTTTTTTATGTGAGATAGGGAGGGCAAGGATCAGGCACATTGGGTTTGGGGAGTTTAATGATTTTGTTCCAGTCTCGAGTAGACTCACCTTTGGAAAATTATGTTCTGATTTCACTGTCATCCCTCTCAAAGTTAAACAAATAAGACCTGATGCATTTCAGATCTGGGCTGAAATTGCAACTTCTAATTTACCCAATTGAGTTCATATACTTGAGACCAACTTGAAAATTGACATCTCCAATACACACCTAATTGAACTCCCGAAAAAAATTATTATGTCAATAAGTTTCCACTTGTTTGATTTATTCTGTTTGCTTGTTTCAATGTTCTCTTGCTTTCAGAAATAGCTGACATCTTGGTTGGGAGTCAACTAGGAATATTTTGATTACTGCACTATATATTATTGTGAGAATTTCTAAATAATAAAATTATAGTTGTTAACCCTTTCGTAGCTGGACTGGTTTATTCAAGTTGCCTTGCCCCCCTTAGAACTTGATTTGAATCTCATTTCCTATATTGGGATCATAGGAACTTGTATCTGTGATTGCTAGTTGGCTTGCCCACTGTAGAACTCGGGGTGACACTCATTGCTAAATTGGAATCCTGGGAGTTTGTGTGTATGATTCTTTCTATGACCACTTCCTTGCACCTGGTCTTACACTTGCCTTTACTGCTATATGTTTTGCTAATAAACTTCAAATCTAGAGATTTAATAGTAGTCATGTGAATGATATCTCTTATTATTTCTCAAAAAAGCCCAACACTTGATAGCGCTTATTGATTTTGGAATCTTATATTTGTTGGGGAGAGGAGAATTCCAAAAACTAAAAGAAATTGTAGAGATCAACAATCAAGAATATACCAGAAAGTTGACGTAAGATTGAATATGGTTTGGTAACTCCTGTCTACATCCATGGAGAAAAACTAAATTATTCACCATGTGAGATCAATTACAAGACCTTGAGTTACCCATGCTCAAGCACAAATTTCCTTGTAGACCCTCTTGCATAAAACCTCGAAGAATTTGCACATTTTCTCTTATCTGAAAACTCTAGAGAGTACTATCTTTAGATATCCTAGATAAACCTAAGAGTACTAAAAGTATTCCTCACATCTTGCTCTTCTCCCGCTAAAACCTAAAGATACATGAGATATTTATAGAAGAACCAAACCCTAAGTAAATGGTTTTCTTTTTTCACGGGAACGCCTTCTTGTACTAGGATTCCTTATCTCATTGGGATACTGGCTTTAGGAATCATAAAATACTTGTCAATCCCAACCATCTCTCTCTTGGTGAGTATTTTGTTTACTTTTGTGCCTTGTGAAGAGAATATACTTTTGCTCCACGCCCCTTTCAATCTTTGTTGTTCATCTTTATTGAATCTCTGACCACCGGATCTTTTTGGCTCTAAAACCACTTGTTGGGGAGGGAGTGGAGAATTCTGAAAACCAAACCAAATTGTATAGATCAACAATCAAGAAGATACCAGAAGGCAAACGCAAGATTTAACGTGGTTCAACAATTCCCGCTTACATCCACCATGTGAAATCAATTACAAGACCTTAGTCTTTCTCCACTCAAGCATATATTTCTTTGCAGACCCTCTCACATAAACCCTTGAAGAATTTATATTTTTTCTCTTGTCCTCTCTAGAAACTCTAGAGTACCCTCTCTAGATGCCCTAGAAAAATCTAAGAATTCTAAAAGTATTCGTATCCTACTCCCCACTCCCCCTTTAAACTAAAACATAGAGATACATGATATATTTATAAAAGAACCAAACCCTAATTAGTAGGGTTCCCTTCCTTCACAAGAACTCTTTCTTGTACAGGAATTCCTTATCCCACTGGGACACTGGCTCCACGAATCCAAGTACTTACCAATCCCAACAATATCTATATCTAGCATTTACTCGAAATTAGAGAATTTTCTCGTGTATTTTTATGAAAGCACAGCTAAGAATGATATGTTGATACTAGGTTTAGTATGATCTTTTGTCCTTCTTAAATTCTGAACTTGTAATCAACCAGGTTGTAATTATTTTTTCCATCTTGAATCTATTACAGGATGAAATTCATGGTGTACTTTTTCCTGCCTCAGAAGATGAAGCAATGGAGGTTGAGCATTTACTTTTGGAGCCACAAATTGAAAAAGATTTAAGCAACAATATCATGCTTATGGGCTCAGAGCATTCTAAAGAGTGCCTAGCTATCGAAGATTTTACATTTGCAGTTGATTACACAGATTGTAAAGCAGATTTTGGTATGATTATTGCTAGATGTGTTAAAAGTTTATTTATCTCCTAGTTTATGTTTTGATGGAGTGATTTTTTTTTGTGATTGCTAAAATTTTTATTAAATAGTAGTCTTTTTTTCAGTTTGTTCTATATTTGTGTGTGTGTTTGTAAATTATTATGTTTTCCTGTAATCATGTGACTTCATGTGGTTTTTATATGTGGTTTCTTAGCTTTGAGTTGCTGCGTAGATGCAAGTAACTTTTCATCTTATATTCTGCTCTAAATTGCCTTTGCCTTTTAATTTTGTTTCTTTTTTACATGATGTCGGCAATCTCTTCATTGCACAGTGACAATTTGCAACAAGAATCTGTGCCTCCTCCAACTTCACGGTTTTAGTTATCAATGCTTTAAGGATGAAACACTCGAATAAAGTCCCTTCTGCTGTTTATTCTCTTCTCTAGTTTCGTTATATGTGTATTGATGTATGTGTACAGTGTACTTATATGCAATTTCCTTGCAGGAAAAATTTATTCTGATGCTGCACTGATTCAGAAACATGAGGTGAAGTGTTCAGTGTTCATCCTAGCTCAAGATGTTTACACTTAGAGACTATTTTCTTGAATAAAGATTAAGAATTGTGGGAGATGAAGTGCAAATACCTTTTGTTTGTATTAGTTTGCAATCTTGGGTTTTGCTCTACTTTAATTGTTCCAGGAATCTTTGCACTTGTACATTTTAAATTTTGTGATACATGGTAGTGTGTTTTTTGCAGTTTGTTGATAGCATGCTCCAGGGAGTTAATGAAGGGAATCTTCATGGACAAAGCAATTTCTGCAGCATCTGTCCTGAACTTTTTTGGGGTACCTCTCTTTTGGTACATTTCTTGTTATATTGGAGCTCTTAAATTAGGCTGCTGCTTATAATTTCCCCCCTTATCTTTTTTTGTTTATTCAGATAATGACTGTGCAGAAAGCCTTCAGGTTAAATGTGCTTCCCAGAACACATCATGTATTAAAAATTTCAGATCAGATTTGCAAACCAAAAGCATTGGAATACATAGTGATGCTGGAGAATTCTCAGACTTGTCAAATGCTCTTAATTCTCCATATGATGCTGCTACACCTGATCGAGATGCATTTTTGTTCGATGATGTAAGCACCGATCAACTTCCTGATGTGTTCAGAAGCACTTTGGGATGGGATACATCAGTGGAGGACAAGCAGTCTCTGGAGCATCATATACTCTTTGAATTGCAGAACCTGACTGAAATTAACAAATTTTCCAGTCCCTCACAATGCAGCTCTATGCCAAATGAGATTGATGATGAAACAATATGGATACCAAAAAATCTTTTTGAAGAAGTGTCTAGTCCATTCGGAAGTATATTTGATACCACCAAACTGGTGGTTGGAATAGGTGCTGAGAAGCCAGTGCAGTGTGGTAGGGATGTTCGAGTGGGAAATTTTTCTGAGGCACACAAGACTCATTTGGGAGATGAAGACAGTGCAGTTATAACAAATAAGAGATTACGCAAACCTACTCGAAGATATATTGAAGAAACATCAGATTTGAAATCCAGATGCTGCAGAGAAACTAGAGGTAAAATTTCTTGTGCTAGAACAGTTGATCATTTATTGGTAGAAACTGGTAGGACAATGGTTTGACCAAGAGTCCGATGCAGGTTTAGTTATTCAGAAACAAAGAGGTCTGCATGCCTCCAGAGTTCAGCGTCGGAAAAATGCTGCAGTTATGGTGAGATATCCTTTCCATGAAGTGGTAAATTCTCTGCCGAGTCTTCCTGCATTACTAGTGATTCTCTTGAACTCTCATGGTTTGCAGTATGCTTCATTTCATTGCAGTTATTTTCTGAAGCTTTTAGTTAAGCACAAAATTTACTAATCATTATATTCAATGTATATTACCATGTAGCATTTGAAGATCCCAAGACCCCAACCTTTTTTGAATTGCATATATATGCACTGGAAGATACGCAATGTCATATATTTGGGGTCTCAGAAATCAAAACATTTGTTTGTCAC